TCTAACTTTCATCTGCTTCCAGGTTTATGTTGCTCCCGAATTTTGCATATAACTGAACTTTCAAATCTGCTAGCACCCGCTGGATGGATTCCACTCTGGATTCTAAGGCATCGATTTCTTCTTGCAAATTTTTCTGGGGGAGAAAAAGAAATAGTTCAATTCATTCTATTCAAGTAGATAATTTTAAACATCTAGGACTGAAAAAAAGTCAGCTGAATCCTGACTGAGTCTTCAGTTTGGAGGCTCATGGGTCAAGCTGTTCGATTCTGAACGGTGGGTTCCTCTTGTTTTGGTTGAAGGTCAGGTATGGACTGTTTGATTTTACGTCATTCACAACCATATGTGTGAGCAGATTGGATTTGCTGGAGTTGGCCAACAATGAGCTGTGGGCTGGGCTGGAAGCCTCTTGTTTAGAGCCAATCAGAGTCTGGTGCACGGCCTGGGTTTTTAAAAGTAGGCTGAGGCCCAGTCTTCAGTTTGGAGGTTCATGTGTCAAGCTGTAAGATTCTGAACGGTGGGTTCTTCTTGTTTTGGTTGAAGGTCAGGTGTGGACTGTTTGGTTGTTTTATTTCATTCACTACTGTTTGTGTGTGAGCTGACTGGATTTGCTGGATTTGGTGAACAATGAGCTGTAGGCTGGCAAAAACTACTTAGTATTGAAACACTGAAGAGTACAGCCAGAATGCTCCTCAGCTACAAGGATCAAGAGACACCATCTCACGTACTTTGGACAGAATCGGTCACTCTCTGCAGGTCATCCTGCTGGACCATACAGAGGATCAGGAAGAGGAGGAGGACTCTGGGTGAGGACAGCACAGTGGCTGCAACACTGACCAAGCACAGGCCGCAGGGAGGCCACACAGGCCTTCAGTGTTGTTATTATACAGGGATCTGACTCAAGGGCACCTGACAAAACCAGCATCTCTTCAGATGGTGGGATTACAGGCAAATTTTTTTTATTTTGTATTTTCTAAATGCCTCTTGTTTAATATACTGGTTCCTGAAGTTAAAACACTTCTCCTGTGTATGATCTTGAACTCTGCAGCCAAAAGCCTTTCTTGTTCATCTCTGAATGGGACGACAATACCCACCTCAGCAGACCATCCTCAGGGTTAAAGAAAAACCACTGACAAAGCCTTCTGAGGATTCCTAGGCCAGTGCAAAGATCTGGTAATTCGTAGCTGTTGCTAGGTGTTGTCAAGTGGACTGTGACTCACAGTGGATTTGAAACCTGCCTGTCCTGTGGCATCCTCATGACTGCCAACACACAGAAGCCCGTTCTACAGTCACCGTTCAATTCACCGCGTCGAGGATCTGCCTCTCTTACACTGACCCGCCACCTTTCTAACTGTGATGTCCTTCTCCAAGGACTGGTCCTTCCCAACAACATGCTCTAAGGGTGTGAGATGAAGCTTTACCATTCCTTGCTTACAAGGAGCATTCTGCTCTCACCTTCTCCAAGACAGAGCTATTTGTCCCTTTGGCAGTTCATGGGATATTCGGACTCTTCACCACCACAACTCAAAGGCACCAATTCTTTTTCTGTCATTCTTACTGACTGCCCAGATCTCAGATGCACAGCAAGTAATCGCTGTTATTGTTGTTGATTGCTGTCGAGTCGAGCACAACTCATAGAGACACGATCAACAAAAGGCCTGAAGCCTTTCTAGAACTATCATCAAAGTTCACAGAGTTTCCAGAGGCATGTTGTTTAGGAAGTGGATGTAGAATCATTAGTATTCATATTTTTCAATTTCCCCTTTTGTTATAAATTACACAAATCCTTATTTCAATATTAAGAGGTCCACATACCTTTGCTTCTTCTAACATTTCTTGTGTCTCCTCCTGAGAATGGCTAATGAAAACGTCACCCACTTGGTAGGGTATCATTAGACAGGCATCATCCGCCAGCATGATGTCATCGCAAGCGTCTTCTAAATTCTGCAGCTGTTTCTGTGGACAACAAGCCAAAGAGCCATGAACAACGTATTCGGAATTCTCTGATACAGGCTGCAAGTCAGTTTTAGATTTGGGACACCACCTCTGAAACACACATTCATGAAGGTAAACGTATTCTCATTAGGTTTCAATGAATTGATCGACTGCAGCAACCTCATGGATTGAACAGACCTGCCCCACGAGGTCTTGTAGGTTGTAATCTTTAAGGGAGCAGACCGCCAGGACTTTCTCCTGAAAAGCTCACAATCAACAGGGGGGCCACCAGCAGCTCCATGGGAGAAAGATGGTCTCTTCCATCAAGACTTACAGCCTCAGAAACCCAGTGAGGGCTGCCATCCAGAATCAACAGTGGTGGCATTTCCGCAAGCAAAAAGTTAAAACCCAGCTAGACATTTTCACCTTGTTAAGAGACCTGGAGGGAGCTCTGGTGGCCAAGTGGTAAGGAACTGCACTTCCAACCCAAAAGCACGTGGTTCAAATCTGTCAAGGGCTTTGCGGGAGAAAGATGGCCAGTCTCCTCCTGTGCGAATTACTGCCCCTGAAAACTCACCGGAGGGTCAACTATGGGCCAGTTCCAATTCAGTGGTACACAACATAAAGACCCTCACCATCGTCTGCAACCACCCCAAACGTCTCCTACAATGACAGCTGTAGTTAAGAAAACCTTGCTAAGAGAACTGAAACAAGACTAAGAAAAGAGAAAGATACTTCCCTACCTCTCCTGCTACTATGAGAAAGCGAATACTATGGATTCCACCAAGCACTTGCACTTGAACTGGACTTCATTTCAGGAGGGATAAGAGGAGGAAAGGCTGAGCCCTGGATGGTGGGGCAGGTGGCAAAGGCAGAGTGTAGGCTTCCGAGTCTGCAGGGGCAGCACCATCTCCGTGGCGCTGGTGGCTGGTTCTGGGCTTGGCAGAGACAGCAGCCGACACGTCACCAGCCACGCTGTCCGAGAGTTGCCATCTTGTGGACTACCTCGTTGTCTTTTTTTTTTAAAAAAAAAAATGTTTTTCTCCTTCATTTTCAACAAAGAACCCTCTCAGGAATTCAATTACTACTTATATACGGAGTTGGTTTTTAAAAAAAAAAAAATAACAAAAACCCTTATTATAAAGAACTTTCCTTTTTCTCTAGGGAGACCACTATTTTCAATACCTTTTTTACATCTATCTCCTCCTTTAGCTCTGAGATTCTACTCGTATTCCGTGCAAATTTGTTTATCTTCTGCTGGTCTTCAAAGGTAACATTGACGTCTTCTGCAGCCTGAAAAAAATTGTTTAAATTTTTCTGTGAAATAAATTTTCATCAAGAGGTTGTAAGTTAACATTTTATATAATCTATAATAATTCAATAAGCTCTTTGCTTTCAGATAAATAATCACAATAGGTAGACAAGATGTCTGCCTTAATGAAGATTTGTACCGCAAATTTCATATCCAGTCTTAACCCTACCCCTGTCCCACAGAATGATGTCTAAGCTATCACTTCAAGCATAAACAGTGAAGAAATAAAATGTGGATGAATGAAATTTCACCAGAAAACCAATTTGCTCTGTAAACTTTTACTCAAAGCACAGAACTTTTTTCCCTAAGCCTTAAAAAAATTAAACTCAAGTCAGTAAAACTTTTCATCAATCTACTAAGAGCTGAGACATCCCTATGTTTCTAGAGTTTTCATCAAAGTGATACACTGCCCAGAGGGGTTCACACACTGCAAGTCAGTGACTGTATTTCCCACAGCCCTTCACCTCCCCTAAAGTGAATATTAGGTTTATTTTAATGTAAAACCTACTTACACGCCTTAGTCATGAATTGGACATAATTTAGAAATAAGACAAAAATTATATAATTAAAAAGGGAACACTGCATGGTTCAAAATTGGGAAGGGTGTACGCCAGGGATCCATCCTATCTCCATACCTTTTCAACCTGTATGCAAAACAGATTATCCGGGAGGTCAAGATTGGTGGACAATCTATCAACAATCTGCGTTATGCGGATGACACAACCCTGCTTGCTGAAACTGAAGAGGACCTGAAGC